GTCCTGTAACCCATTAGGGTGATAGAAACAGCAAATGTACTGCATCCATAGCAACAGTGGTGTGTCTTGGGCAAAATAGTCAAGTCCAGGCTGGATTTGAATTCAGTTTTCCTTCTCCTAAACCAGTTGTTACCTAAAGTTATAGAATCTTATTTTTGTGTCTGTGATCAGAGCAGGCCTTCAAGCTGGAGGACATTGGCATGAATGCTTTTTTGGCTTCTAACAAATATGTGGAGGGAACTTGTCAAGTGCTCAGTTATGCAGCAAACCTACAACTACACCCGGTCAGGGAACTGGTGATGATATATCTCTCTCTCTCTCTGTTCCTTTAGCTCTCTATGCGTGTATTAAAGATTTTTAGATATATTGAAAATTAAAATTTGAGTTTAAGATATATACACATAGATTTTTTGTTTGATGTGTGTGGGTGGGGATTTTCAGTATCTAAATGGATTCAATAGCCAAAAGAACATAGGAATAGAGTTCTCAGTCATGATTTTTTTGATAAATACAAATTTATGTACAAAACTGATATTTGATGCCAAAAGCAGATAATAAATTTAACATATTTAAAATGTACTCAGTTCCTTTCATATCTTCCTTTTCTTACATTTTAAATTGTTTTAATGTTTGGAAACTTTCACTAAAAATGAAAGAATTTTTTGTCTCTGGCAATTTTTTGTTAGTGTTATTTGAAGTTTAGTTTGGATGTGGTCAGAGACAAAAAAAACGGTAATATTAATTTGACCGAATTTTGCCTTGTAGGACCCCAAAATCCACTCAATATTGGTAATTTTTGAAAAATGTCATGTTAAAGCTGTCTGTCACTTACCACATTCATTTAAACAAAATTTCAATAACTTTCCTAACAAAGAGGCTGAACAAAGCAACTATCCAGAACTGATAATCTAAAAAACAAAATTATTAAACATGTGTGAGTTTGATTAAATTAAAATGCTTATAACTTGGCAAATACTTGGAGTTAGGATGAAATTAGACCAGTTCTGAAATCCCAAGACTTTTTTCTTTCAAAATAGATATAGAATATATCAGTTGGGAAATGTTCTAAAAATGTCAAATGTCCTCTTGTACATTTTGCAAATTAAAGTTGGCTGTATGATGACTGCCCAATATGCTTTACTGGTTGTTTTATATATAAAAACTACATAATCCTGGTGTCTTACATAATTACATGGTTTTTCAATAGAAATGGATGCATCACAAAACTTCAAATATTAGATCATAATTCATCAGGCACAGATGGCTGGCTCCAATTGGATATTGTCCTTATTGCTTTGGAGTGCATGGTCAAATGTGTCGTACCAAAACACTGGGCAACACACGAGTTCTATTCATAAAAAAAAGTCAGCCACTATCTTTTGTAATCTGAAAAAAAACTAATACAACTAATTTAATAAAAATATCTCCCTCTTTTCTTTTTTTTTTTCCTCTCTTTACTTTTTTTTCTACCAGTAAACCAACAACAAATCCTGAGCTGTGTATTAAGAGGTGCATTTTTAATTTTTTACTGGTTGAGTATCACTTGGTGTAATCTAAAATATGGCATCTCCTCTGAGTATTATTTGAAAAAAGTGCGATTATTTCTATTTTTTATTTTTTTCCCAAACGTCTTTGATTATAATTAGTGGGATGCACCAAGATGGTCAGATTGTTAAATCACTTAGATAAATTATTAGATAAAAAATACATGAGTCAAGGCATTGTCATTGAAATGAGACAGTATTTTCTTTAGAAAGGCTTTATTCCTTTACAAAGATAAGTTGACAAACTTGTACAGTTTATAAGAACTAAATATAAATATGTTGTAGGGAGGGTGGGAACAAAAAGAAAAGATTTATTGTCTATTTCCATTACAATCTCTAATCTGAAAAGAAAAATACAGTAGTAAGCAAATAGCAATTCATTAACAAACAGAAATAGTCAACTTGTTCAGTTTATTTTTTAAGTTTTTTTGGGGGGGTGGGCGACAAAATCCTTGTGAATGAGTCAATTGCAGTATATCCTCTTAGGCCACCAAGGCAATGTTTAATCTGGTGACAAACCTTTTCAGTATGGAGGTGGTCTTTTAGTTTTAGCTCTATTTGAGAACCACAATTTGTGGAACAGACTCCCAAGAGATTGCTTCTCCAATCACTACGATCTTAACCTCTTCAAGTCTTGGGGCATGTAATTTAATACCTAATAAACAAAAGTGGGTAAGCAACAACATTAACAATATTTACTCAAACAGGTAAGTTGGATTAACAATAAATCCATTAATTCTTTCGAAATTGCTTTGTTTACGTTTCAGATATGAAACTGAGCAGTTTATAGGCTTTAAAGAAAAATCTGAATGGCAATTCCTTAAAATCATTGTGCAGAATATTCTCAATTCTCTCACAGGATATTCTAATAGCATTGGCTATTTGATTTATATATATGGTGATGTTTTCCTTCTTGATGGCAGTTGCAGGATGTCCAAACCATGTGTCATCTTCAAGACTCCATTCCCCTGCTAAATTCAACTGCCCACTTTTGCACTGTTGATAAAGCTGAAGCATCATCACCTAACGTAGCAACCCTGTCAGCATGAATATCCTTGGGAGCTAAGCCCTTTAAGCTGTGGTCACTTGATAACATCAGTCAGTTAAGTGATACATGTTTGGGAGATCGTGTATCTTTCGATACATGACTAATGAGGTAGAAAGTTTTTCCTGCAGTAGACTGGTTACCAACCAATGCTAAGTCTGTCATGATGTTTAACCCATAGGTGGGGGGAAGAAGAGATGAATTCATACCTTTCCCAAGAGTGTTTGTGCGTAAGTGAATATAACAAACTCGACTGGCATTCAACCCCAGCTCTCTGACTTCTCATTCCAATCCGATATCCATTACACCACAACATACAATACTAAATTTTGTCCACTTTCAAGAGAAATCACTACTTGTTACGTTTAAAGTTTTCTTTGAATAGTCAGATGTCAGTTTACCTAGAAAGAAATAATGCAGTTTTAGAAGAATTGACATTAATGTATGAAAGATGTCACTTTCTTTTTCTTTTCTTTTTTTAAAGCAGTAACGTCCACCCTGCACGAGGCCTGGGGGCCACTTGAGGTAAAGAGTTACATTAAGGGTTAGTTTATATGGAGAGGAGAAGACGATAACTCTACTCTAGACTTGAACAGATTAAGATTGTAGTGATCGGAGGAAACATCCTCTTGAGAGTCTGTTCGCAGGAAGAAACTGTTTGAGTGGAACTTACTTCTCACCAATGGAATATGGATAGAATGTTTTTTGTTTTTTTGTTTTTTATAATCAGTATCGCCCCAAGCTTGGCAGTACAGCCACTAACGCACAAGGGATTACAGGGTGTGGGGAAATTAGGAACAGTAACATTAGTAATGAGGAGAAAGAGCAATCAGGAGGACAGTAGATAGCGATTGACATTGCATTTAAACATTTGTAGATTAAAATTGGCTGGAAAGCATGGAGCCGGGAGGGAGTTCCACAAAGTACTAGAAAAGAAACTGTCAGCACAGAAGTTATGATTACATCGTGATAGCTTAACTGTAAGTTGATGAGATCTCACCACCAGTCTAATATTGCTCTTAAATTCATACAGTCTAGGTACCATATCTCATGGTAATATTTTATTTATATATATATTGTCACGTAGCAACGATTTCATTAACCATATAGGCGTTAGGCTAAAGTAAAATCTTAAATAAAGAGAAAACTAGTTAGATATAAAAGAAAGATAAATAAATAGATAAAAACAGAAATTTAATCCAATGCTTCCGATTCATGGCGAATATATTCTATGATCAGCCATACCCCCCCTCTTCTCTTCACAAATTCTTTCTCTCCTTATCCTCTCTTCCACCCGCCAGCCAAGGGCCCGTGAACTTAGAAGTGACCCGACGCGAGGATGACCTGGTTCTAAGATTTCGCGTTTGACCATGAGTGAACTCCAGACACCATCAGGGTCTCATGCTGCGATTCACGTGATCGGGACGTCACGGAGCATGCGTTGAACTTTTGGCCATCACATAAGCACTGCGTGATTTTATTCATTCTCCCTCGTGCCGGTCAAGGCGAAGGGAACCCACGTGACTGTCTGTGGGGACAGCGAAAAAACAAAGAAGGATTTTTCAGTTTCCCTCTGACCAGCGGCAGTTGAACATCCCTGGGCAAAAATCGTCAGACCGCCCACAGAGATGAGGAAGACCACAAAGTCTATCGACTAGTGATTGAAGGGCTGCTATGGACTGATCAACCCAACCAAATGCCTGTATGAAATGCTGGGGACCCACGAACACTTGCGAAAAGAAGAAGAATCCAGGAACATTGTCGGCCGCCAAGATACTGATTTATCATCAGAACTCTCGCTTCGCTAATCAAAACTTTGTGAAGATACCAGCCCGACTGCAAGATAAGTTGGTTCTTTTGGCTTGATTTGTTTTCATATGTGTATGTATTCGCTCGCGCCTTCTATTCTTTAATGATGTCCTCCCCTTTGTTAAATGAATGTTCTTTTTTTTTTTTTTTCTTTGTTTCGTTATATATATATATACTTATAAATAAATGTTTAATTTTGAAATCCATCGTCTTGTGTCTGTTCTTCGTTGATTCCCTTTGTGTCGCTTCCATTTCTGAGTGAAGACCGAGAAAAGAAACCACGTTTTCCTTTTTTTTTTTGAACCCGTGGTTCATCTATATGCTACAAGTTAAGAATATATATATATATATATATATATATATATATATATATATATATTTATTATTAATGTTTTATGGTTTTAATGTATGATAATTTTAAATAAATTTAAAAATTTACAGATCAAAACTTTCTTCTATCTGTATTTCTGCTATGAAAGGTAAATAAATAATGTTTTATCTCCTATGCAAATTTAAAGCTTAGGATATGAGAATAATGTTGCTTCAATAAAAGATAAGCTTAATTGAACCATACGATAATATAATATTGTTTTTATTTCCAGATGGCTTGTGGTACCCTTGATATTGATATCATCTCTGTAAATATGATGGAACAAATGCCTTTTCGCTACAAGCGACCATCACTGAATATGGTAAGTTAATAACTGGTAACCTTTGCATTGTGTTGTCTGCATAAATGGAACAGAAAAGGGTTTGTTTTTAATTATTTTTCTTATTAAAGAGAAACTATTATTGACAATGTGTAACCTTTGTGCTTGTATAGCACCACCTGTCAACAGGGTTACAGCCTTAGTCACAGTCAACAATTAATGTAATATCTTTTCGCACTGCCTACACCCAGTGGCCTAACCATGCTTCGTGGTTTGGTCCTCAGGTTCTTAGAAGAATGTTTTAACCACAGGGCTAACTCTGTGCTTAGTCAATACTGACACTGGTCCAATCTGGTTGTTGGTCGCTGGCCTTTTCGATCCACACCAACACTGCCCACATTGTGCTCTTGATCTCAGAGCAGTGGAAGATCAAATGTTGTTGCAATGGCAGCACTGGTCCAAGTTGTGGCAGTGCTACATTAAAGAAGAAAAAATATCTTCACAATGAAACAAAAAAAAAAAAACGAAAAGATTCATAAGGTTAATCTTCAGTTAGTTTATATAGCTTTTGGTACAACAAAAATTAACACTTCCCACATCAATCTCTATAGTGACACTGGGCTTTGTCTAATTTTCTGGAGGAGCTGGGTTCAAAGTTCTTGAAATCGGGAAATCTGGTGGCAGCTGACAGATTTCAGAGGTACTCAATGCAGATTCTCAGCCCAAGGTCTCTGAGCTCCCCAAAGTCATCTTCTTATATGCACTTCAGCACTTGGTGATTCCCCAATGTTCATTAATTCCAATAAAGGTTGTCTTTATTCCCTATTTCTGCTTTCTTAATCAACTTCCCAAATTTGGAGAATTATCCATCTTTCCTTCACAGAGATTGTTCCTCCCTTAACTCCAACCTATTTCACTTCACATCTTGCACTGCTACTCCACACAGGCAGAGCTAAATTTTGCCTCTTCCTCCTTCCTTCTCAGTATTCTAACTCTGCTCACTTCTCAGGGTTGGTATAACTCTCTTTGTGAGGAAAAAGGGCATAGTTTATTTTCCTCATTAATTTTAATTCTCTGAGTCATTTCCTGAACCCACTTGTTCAGTGGTAACACAAACCAGATCACCTCCTCATTTTAACTTTCCAAGCAACAGATAAAAATTATTTCCCAATTTGTTTTGGCAATGAAAAAAAAATTGTTTACCTAAATTCTCAACAAGGAACATGCTGTTTTCCATCTTCAGGCCAGTCACCGTCTTAGCGAAAGCATAAACAAAATCATCTTCCTGTTACGATGGATCAATTTTCATAATCCTAACCTTCGTAGTGGGTTCATTCTCCATTTTCATTTCTCAATTTGTTTTTGCTAATGAAAATATAATTCCCATCTGCTTTTCTTTTCATCAATGACGTGTGTTTTTCTAATTTCCCAAAAAAGAAATAAAGCCATTTCCCAATTTGCTTTACCCACATGCCAGATTTTTGATAGATTAAAAAAAAAGGGAAACTTTTAGTGCATCATTCATTATAGGGGTGAGGCAACCCAGATGGCCCTTTCTTCACTTCCATATTACCAAGGAAAATGTTTTCCATTCTCTCTTTCTATCTATCTTCCATTTTATATTTAATTTTGGGCTTTTTTCTGCTTAGAATTATCGTTTAACCACCTCACAGCCTCAGTGTTACACCTGCAAAAAATGGTGTGTCAAAAGGATTATTATTCCCTTGACTCTGCTATTATTATATGTTTTTAATTTCCTCGTCAATGTTTATTTACAATAAAAAATATATGTGAACCACATACACTGTGATATTTGTTATTTACTTTTTATAACAATTTATTATTTACCATTTTATAAAGAAATAAATTTGAAAATTGTTTTTATTCAAAAATTTATAAAAATTATCAAAATATTACAATGTAATATTTATTTGCCATTTTATAAATAATTATAGATCATGAAAATTTGAATAAACATATTTGGTGGTGCGAGTTTTTATTAAGCAATTCAAGGTTTGTTTAAAAAAAATGTGAATAATATTTATTAATTCTTTAAATTATTTCACTCCAAGCAAGGAAATAAAGCCACTAAGATGCAATGTGATACTGAGAGTGAAAGAAATCAAGAAAACATTGAGATGAGAGAAAAGGCATTAAAATAACAGGATTCAAGGTGACAGAAGATAATAATTGATGTTGCATTTAAATTTTTCAAGACCATAGTTGACAGAAAAGCAAACCAGAAGAGTTCCACAAGGCACAGGGAATATATCTTATGCTGGAGGAAAAGTGACCGAATCTGAAATGACAATTCAGGTTTATAAAGATTGCCAAGGTTCATAAGACATAAGCTTGAGAGACAAAATACCATAAAGTTATTGACTGATAGGAATATCACATTGAAATTGCAAAATAACTAAACAGAGATCATAGAACAATTAAAAAAAGAAATTAAAAATGTTTGCAAAATAAGAACAAGAGAAAATATAGCTTTTAAGAATGTCATAAAGAGATTTGAGAAAAATTAAAAGGATTAGCAATACCCATGAAAATTTCACTATTTTAATTTTCTGATGAATCCTAATTCTTAATCTAATTTTTTTTGAGTTCTACAATTGAAATATCCATGAATATTCCCCTGTAGCAGCTTTAAATATATGAACTTAACAACTTCAACAAAATATTGCAATAACAATCATAAATATGAATGCTGGTTGTTATTTGTAGAAGTAAGAGGGTACAAATCAAAAGATACAAAATTTGACTAGGTTTTTAATTTTATTGAAGCAGATTTTAAACACTTGAGTGCATTATTGCCTCTTCTATCTTTCTTTTTCTTGTTGAAATCAAACAGCATCTTTCAAAATAGCTCATTATTTATGAGGTATTGGCAGACTATAACATACTAAAGAACAGACAAATATAACAATTGTGACCTGCAAGAAGCTCTGGTGTTATGAATGTAAACAGACAGAATAGATGGAGAATATTAAGAACATTGGCTAAAAACCTTAAATCAATCAAACTACGACATTAAAGTAAGCATTACAAAGAGAAACTTGTAAGTCGAGCAAAAAAAGTACATGAATATTGATTTGTTAGGAGTTATTTTTAGTGATCAATTTAAAGCTACATTGAATGAGTCTGATGGCTGGATTAAAGTTTGAGTTTCTTTCCTTTTTTTTTTTTCTTTTTCTTTAAATTTTTTTTTTTTTTAACCAGATGTAACAGCAAAATTGTCCAATTGTTAGATTAAGCTTTGAACTGTTGTATCTTAGAAGTGATTAAAGATATCTTACTGGAATTCTCTGAGGTTTTTATAACACTATTGGACTCTACTTTGAGCAATAAGAATGTATAATTACTCTCCAACCTTAACAGAAGAATTATGATAAAATTGATCATAAACAAAAATGATGTTCTTAATCATAGCTAAGGATCAGAAGCTCATGAAGGATTGAAATTAAATATATATATATATATATATATATAAGTTCCAAGATCATTTTCCAACTTATTCAAGATAATCTTAGCCCTCTAACCTTCTCTCCTGGAATAACAAGTTTTCACTGCTGTTTGGACTGTCATAAGTGAAATTCCTCCCTCACATATCAAATGTTTTATGGATTGAGTTGGATCTTTTCTAATTGATCTCTTTAGCTATAAGTTGAAATGATAACCTCTCTTCCTGTTGTGACCTCCTGATTCAGTTTTCCTTTCTACTGTTCCCTCTTTTTTAAAATTATTCACCATTCTCTTAATGGTTTTTGAATGGACTTTGAAGATGGAAGCCAGAGTATGAATGTTAGTACCATTACTGAAGGCCTGAATGATCTTTTGCCTCTCACCATTGCTCAGTTGGGAAGACAGTGGGGCTTAACCTGTTTATTTATTTTTTTTTTTTTGTTTTTGTTTTTTAAGCTAACCTAAAGGGTTTTTCAGTGATTTTTATGGTAACAAAATGGCTAAGCATCTTATCTGAAAACCTAGAAAAAAGAAACTCTATTAATTTAGTTTTTTTTTTTTTTTTTTTTTTTTTTTTTTTTTAGATGTTAAACAATTTGTGGGTGGATAATTATGCTGTTACACAAATTGAACAATTTAGAACATCTGGTGTATATATATATATATATATATATATATATATATATATATATATATATATATATATATATATTTATAAAAAATTATAACATAAGTATGTTATAAAATCACTACAAAAATAGCCATTTTGTTTCAACACACTCAGTGTCTTATCAAGTGATGATGTTGAAGATAAAATAAATGGCTTCCATATATACCAATTATATACTTGTGTGTGTGTGTATATATATATATATATATATATATATATAAAAATAATGTTGTGTATTAGGGTTATGACCTTTTTGTAAAATTATTGCTTTCCTGTATCATAATGCAATGAACTTTTGTTAAAAAATAATGAAGATTTTAATTCAGTTTTTTTTTTTTTTAAATGTCACCCCCAACACAAAATTTTTAAAATCATATATTAATAGTGCTATGACTTTCTGAAGCCTCCTAGAACTTGTTTATTTTTATTTGTAACTTTGTATGTTATGCTATAGCTATAAAGTGTTCAATAGGAATAAAGTGTCACTGCCAACATTTGAATTTGAACATAGATCGCCAGTGAGCAAACACAGGCAATCCCATTATTGAATTAAGTAGACCACATGACCATAGTGGAAATGCATATATATATATAGAAAGTAGCTGACAACTAATGGTTGTTACATCTATTTTATCCTTTATTACTATACCGTTTGCTATTCTCTACTCTATTCACTATACTATTTCTTTATTTAGATCACTATTCAGTGATTAGTTTCCAAATGCGTATTATTGAGCAAGTACTATTAGTGTGAGTGTTATTTGAAGGCATCTGACACCAGTATTATTCAACGGCATACTGTGATTACAAAACTGACAAGGGTATTTGTTGACATTACAAAAGTGACTAACAAGTGTTCGTTGACATCACGAAATAAATGCATTACAAATACATAAGTACTATCCAA